GGGGGGGGAGAGCGGGGGAATCTGTGGCTATTATGTGGAACTGAATAGTATTGTAAAATAAATAATAATAATAATAATAATAAATAAAAAACAAAAACAAAAAAACCTTAAAATTGACAAACAATTCTTTAATAATCACTCAGACTCAAGACTAAACAACCCATTACTGAGTGATGAAAGGGTCAGAAGTAAAGATATACATAAATCTACACCTAAGTGAAAAGGAAATCACAACACAACAAAACCTCTGGACCAGATTAGAAATAGTCTTATAAGGGAAATTATAGCTCTAAGTGCTTTCATTTTAAATTCAGAAAGACTAAAAATAAATGAGTAATGATGCAACTCAAACCAGAGAAAGAACAAATTAAGCTGAAACTCAGTAATGGCATGTTGCTGGAGTTTTTTCCAGTCCTGCCTGGCCCATGGTCAGGACAAATCTCTCTTAGCTGCCAGTCCCACAGCCACTTAGACCCAACCGAGTAAACACACAGAGACTTATATTGCTTACAAACTGTATGGCCATAGCAGGCTTCTTATTATCTAGTTCTTATATTTTAAATTAACCCATATCTATTAGTTTATAAGTTGCCACATGGCTCGTGGCTTACCAATATCTTACATCTTGCTTTTCATGGTGGCAGCTGGCAGCATCTCTCTGCCTCAGCCTTCCACTTCCCAGAATTCTCCTCTTTCCTTGTCCCACCTATACTTCCTGCCTGGCCACTGGCCAGTCAGTGTTTTATTTATTAACCAATCAGAGCAACACATTTAACATACAGAACATCCCACAACACTGGCAAGAAATAATCAAAATCAGATCAGAAATGAATGATCTAGAAAACAGTACAAAGAATCAATGAGTCTTTAAGACAACAAAGATGATTGACAGATCCTTGGCCTAAACTCTATTAAGTTGGAAAATCTAAATGAAATGCATGAATGTTGAGATCCAGCTTATCTATCAAACATAAACTAAGAAGGATTCAACAGCCCAAACAGATGCATACATAGCTAATAAAGAGATTGAAACAGTAATCAGATGCCTCCTGCCAAAAAAACCCCTCAAAAACAAACAAGCAAACAAAACAAATAAACAAAACAACTACAACAAAAAAAAACCCAAATAGGTCAAAATAGATTTACCTTGAAATTCTACCAGATTTCAAATTTGTACTACAACAAAGTCCTCTTAAATTATTCAGAAAAATTATCTTCTTCATTGTATCAGGGACAATACATTGTATCTGTACTTTCATCATTAAAACAAGATGAAATATCCAGCTAGCAGTTAAGAGTCCTTTAGGCAGGCCACGCCACCACTGCTGCCACCCATTGGACCTTGTAACCAACAAGTCCCACTCTGCCACCCGCGCCCACTGAACCCATCATCCTTCCACTGGCCAGCCAGCCCCTGCAAAGTCATCAGCCACTAGAGATACAAGTACATCTGCATCATTTGGAGGAGGAAGTATATGACTGGTCTCCCAGATAAACTGCCCCAAGCCCTAGGCTGTAAGCCCCAAAATATATCCCATTCCCTTCGCTCTTGCATCTCAGGCCCATCAGCAGACCAGCAGGTAAGAGTGTTGCAGGCAGGTAGCTCCACCAAGACCACCACTCAGTAGACCCTATAACCTACAAGATCCAGTCTGCCACCCAAACCCAACAAACCCACCATTATCTCCCTGGCTAACTCTCCCCCACAAAACCAGGAGTTCTTAGAGGCAAAAGGGGTACACTTCTGTACCATTTGAAGGAAGAGATCAGTGACTGATCTCCAAGCCACTACCCCAGTCACTAGACCCTAGGCCTAGCCACACATACCAGTTGGAAGAATAGAGCCCACAGGCACAAGTAAAGCCCACATGTCAGAAGCATTGGACACTAGATCTAGGTACCCAAACCCTCACAAACCTCAGCTGAGAAAACCTGACTCGAACTGACAACCAGCCAATGACTATAACCCTTGGTCAATTAGGCCAAAAGACAATAAAGAAAACATACAGTAAAGGAATGAAAGACCCATCCAACAAAGTCATCACAAGAATCAATACCTGTTCCGATAATTATCCCAAGCCCAGATGGGTAAATGGCAGTGTAAGAATACATTCAACAGGCTTGAAGAAAAGCTGGTACCAGTGGTTTTGTGTGCTGTACTGTGAGTTCTGCTGCAGGGAGCTGAACAGGGAACATGGGAGAGCTGGAAAACCATGCTATGAATGCAGTGACCTATAATGATGTGCATGTCGACATCACTCAGGAAGAATGGGCATTGATGGATCCTTCACAGAGGAATCTCTACAAAGATGTGATGGTGGAGACCTATATGAACCTCACAGCTATAGGTTACAATTGGGAAGATCTTGAAGTTGAAGAACATTGTCAAAATTCTCTAAAACATGGAAGGCATGAAAGACCTCATACCAAAAACAGAGAAATCCTGTGAATATATGGGGTGTCGTAAAGCCTTTGTATGTCATAGTCATGCTCAAAGGCATGAAAAAACACAAACTGGAGAGAAATCCTATGAATATAATCAATGTAGTAAAACCTTTGCACAACACAATCATCTTCAAAGGCATGGAACAACACACAGGGTTAAAAAACCTTATAGATGTAATCAGTGTGGCAAAACCTTTGCTTATTGGAAAGTTCTTCAATTGAATAGAAGAACACAAACAGGGGAGAAACCCTATGAATATAATCAGGGGGGTAAAACCTTTGCACAGCACAGTCATCATCAAGGACATGAAAGAACACATACTGGAAAAAAATCTTATGAATGTAATCAGTGTGGTAAAGCCTTTGCTCATAACAGTGCCCTTCAATTGCATGAAAGGACACATACTGGAGAGAAACCCTATGAATGTAATCATTGTGGTAAAGCCTTTGCATGGCAAAGTGATCTTCAAGTACATAAAAGATCACATCCTGGAGAGAAACCTTATGAATGTATTCAGTGCGGTAAAGCCTTTGCATGGCCCCGTCATCTTCAAGCACATAAAAGAACACATACTGGAGAGAAACCTTATGAATGTATTCAGTGCGGTAAACACTTTGCATGGCCCAGTCAGCTTCAAGTACATAAAAGAACACATACTGGAGAGAAACCCTATGAATGTAATCAATGCGGTAAAGCCTTTGCACAGCCCAGTCATCTTCATGGACATAAAAGAACACATACTGGAGAAAAAACCCTATGAATGTAATCAGTGTGTTAAAGCCTTTGCTCAACCCTTTCATCTTCAATGGCATAAAAGAACACATACTGGAGTGAAACCATAAAACTGTAATCAATGTATTAAAGACTTTGTCATCACAATGGTCTTCAATTTCATGAAAGAAAACATGATTGAGAAAAACCCTATGAATGTAAACAGTTTGGTAAAGCCATTTCACAGCCCAGTAATCTTCAAGTATATTAAAGAACACATACTGGAGAGTAACCCTATGAATATAGTCAATGTGTTAATGCCTACTCACAACACAGAGCAACCATATAACCATAAATCTTTTAGTGTGTAATTTATCTCTGCTGTGAATATCACTCTGTATAAATAAAATGCTGATTTGCCAATAGCCCAGCAGGAAGTATAGGCTGAACAAGCCAAGAGAATTCTGGGAAGTGGAGGCTGAGGCAGAGAGGCACTGTCAGCCCCTGTGAGAAGTAACATATTAAGATAATGGTAAGTCACAAGCCATGTGGCCCCTTATAGATTAATAGAAATAGGTTAATTTAAGGTATAAGCATAGTTAGCAAGAAGCTTGGTCTAAGGGTAGATGATGTACTTTCATTGATTGTTGTTTTGTCAAAAGTGTAGGGAAAGGGGGCTGGGTAAAGAAACCCACAGTAACCCTGGGTCCCTGAATTAGGGAAAGATGGCACAGATAAGGCCAGTTTTAAAAAAAAAACACACTTTGGATCAAATCAGTGCCATCTCTGCCCCTGGCCAACTGACTTGTGAAACTAATCAACCACAAAACAGGATAATAGAATCCTGTCCCTAGGGCCCAGAACCAGGAAAAGAAACACAACTTATGTTATGTTTTGGACATGAGCCAGAGAAATGAACCAAGGAAACATGCCCTGACTCTGAAACTGGTGACAAAATAACACTCTTGGTCCCTAGAATCAGAGGTACCAGATAATATAATAACAGTGACATTTACTTTAAAAATCTGGTGTGTGTGTGTGTGTGTGTGTGTGTGTGTGTGTGTGTGTATGTATGATATGTGATTATGGGTTCTTAGGCCACTACAGAAGTGTGAAGAATAGAAGACAACTTTGTGGGGTCTACTTTTGTCCATATTCATATAGCAGACCAGATGAGGTCACAGCCTTGTACAACACAGACATTTCTAACAGAGCTGTCTCATTGATGCTGAAATAAGATTACCTGAAATATTAAAACAAGAAAATATTGTTTTTTTTCTAATTGAAAACATTTTCTTTTAAAGATAATGGAAAATAGGAGACATTGACTAATAAATACTATTTGTGAATAAAAACTAAAAAAAAAGGAATACATTCAACAACAGAAAGGGCAATATGGTACCAACAGGGACTAGTGATTCTACAACAGCAAAACCTGAACATCCCAATGCAGATGAAGCAGAAGAAACAATCTCAAAAATAACTTTGTGGCTGAGCAGTGGTGGCACACACCTTTAATCCCAGCACTCAGGAGGCAGAGCCAGGCAGATCTCTGTGAGTTTGAGGCCAGCCTACTCTATAGAGCAAAATCCACAACAGGCACCAAAACTACACAGAGAAACCCTATCTCGAAAAACAAACAAACAAAAAAAAACTTTATGAAGATGATAGAGGCCCTTAATGAGAAAATGAAAAATTCTCTCAAAGAAATCGAGGAAAAGACAAACAAAAAATTGGAAGAAATCAATAAATCCCTTAAATAAAGCCAAGGAAGCCAAGAAAAAAAATCAAATAGGTGAAGGAAACATTACAAAAGTTGAAAATTGAAATAGAGACAATAAAGAAGACATAAACTGAGGGAATTCTGGAAATGAAAAATCTGGGTAAATGAACAGGAATTATAGATGCAAGCATAACCAACAGAATACAAGAGATGGAAGAGAGAATCTCAGGCACTGAAGATATGATGGGAAACACAAAACATTCATGAAATCGGGGTCACCATGAAAAGACCAAACCTAAGAATAATAGGGATAGAAGAAGGAGAAGAATTCCTATTCAAAGGCACAGAAAATATATTCAACAAAATTGTAGAAGAAAACATTCCCAACCTAAAGAAGGACATGGCTATGAAGATACAAGAAGCTTACAGAACATCAAATAGACTGGACCCCCTCCCCAAAATGTCTTTTTCCACATAATAATCAAAACACTAAACAAACAGAATAAAGAAAGATTATTAAGAGCTGCAAAGGAAAAAGACAAAGCAACATATAAAGACAGATTTATCAGAACTACACTCAACTTCTCATTGGAAACCCTGAAAGCCAGAAGGTCCTGGACAGATACTCTGCAGACACTAAGAGACAACAGATGCTTGCTCAGACTACTATACTCAGCCAAACTTTCAGTAACCATAGACAGATAAAACAAGATATTCCATGACAAAACCAGATTTAAACAATACCTATCCACAAATCCAGCCCTACAGAAAGCTCTAGAGGATAACTCCAACCCAAGGAAGTAAGAAGTACCCATGAGAACACAGGCAGTAGATAATCTCACACCAGCAAATCTCAAAGCTCCTTTAAGGTTAAGGACACGGTCAGTAAGACAAAACAGCAGCCCACAGAATGGGAGAAGATCTTCACCCTCCCCACATCAGACAGAGGGCTGATCTCCAAAATTCTTAACAAAGTTACTGACTCTCGGTTTGCAGAGCTGTTTTACACATTAAAACTGCTGAATTTATTCCTGATGAGTCAGAATTAACTTCATTATTCAGTTACAACAAATAATTAGGAATAGGAATCATCTTTCATATATAACAAACATCTGATCCCATACAGGTCTGCAGGCTCTCTAGCACAAGATAATGTTGAAATTGATCAACTATTGATAGGAAATGTTCTGGAGGCCTCAGAATTTCATAAACAAATCATATCAATAGCAAGGGTCTGAAAAATGATTTTTCCATCACTTGGCAATAAATCAAGGAAATTATAAGGAAATATTCTACTTGTTCTTTATACAACCAAACTCTACTCCCTTCAGGAAGTAACCCAAAAGGTTTCTGTCCAGGCCCTTCTGATCTTTACAGTCTCCATTGAGAATTTGATGTAACTCTAATAGGTCTATCTTTATATGTTACTTGGACTTTTTCCCTTGTCACTTTAAAAATTCTTTCTTTATTCTATATGTTTAGTGTTTTGTTTATTATCTGTCATGGGAACTTCTTTTCTCATCCAATCTGTTTGGTGTTCTGTAAGCTTCTTGTACCTTTATAGCTATGTCCTTTTCTGTCAGGAAACTTGTTTTCTATGATTTTGTTGAATATATTTCATAGGCCTTTGAGCTGGGATTCTCCTCCTTCTGTATTCCTATTATTCTTAGGTGAGGTCTGTCATCATGGTTTGGCCATTTTTCCAGTCATAGTTCAGTGATACATATGGACCATGAAAGTACTGTAAGACCATGAGTGAGTGAGTGGTCTATGCGACTTTCTAGGCAATGCAATGGATAGACCTAGCAGTTATCCATAAAGGATAATAATAAACATTCATATGCAATTATAACTTTTCCACTAGTAATATTAAAGGAGCAGAACTATTTGTAAAAGTTTGCTCCACATCACACCCATCACTAGTATTTGTTGAGTACAATGCCATTCAATAACAAACTCTCACCTATTTGTACAATGAGATTCAGGGCACATGTATATATCTTAAGTACCACAAATGTTCATTAATCTTCTTACTGTGGATTGATTAGCACAGTAAGATTAGAAGTCTCCTCATTTCTGCCTCTATGTAGACACTTTACATGCAAGTAGCATACATCCTTCCTTCTTGTACCTGAAACATCCTTCAGATTGTAAAAAACTTAAATATTAGGCCACAATCTTTAATTTCTTTTGAAATTTAATCAACTTCTTTTTCTAATCAGTGGCAGATCTGTCATCCTGGATGACCCTGAGTCTGAAGATCCACTTTACAACAAGACCTCTGCATCAACCTGTGACTAAAGTACAGTTTCTGTCTATATCAATGTTCAATATATCAATTTGTACCCCTTTGGGCCCAACACTTAAAATGGGGACTATAATAATATAATATAGCCCAGTATCCTTTACATCTCTTAAGTCACATTCTGAAATAATGCAGTCACCCTCCTTAGTCTATCTTTAGACATCCTGTGATTGCAGGAGTTGTGATCATCATGCATTTATTTCTCTAAGTTCAGAACTGAGCTACCTCAGAGCAGCCAAGTCAGGAGAATTGGCCAAGGCTTGGTCTCTGTAGATTTAGACATGAGGGATCAATTATAGGAAAAGGAGGAACATCTAAGACTTGGTGATCCAAGGCTGTGCATATAAAATACAGCATTTACCATTCTGTCTTTCATCAGTATAGTCTGTGGGAAATAAATCCAAAATATCTCTATGTTTCATGTAATTAGTAAGAATGATGTTTTATATGAGCAGTAAACACGTAAATATTTCATGAGAGTTAATGATGTTCTCTTGGTGTCATCATGTGTAAGATGAAATAGTAGTAGATAATTCTTAAAAGTTTCTTTTTGATATATTGGTGGAAGAAGGAACTCTTGTGTAGGAAGCAGATTTTCAGACTTCAATTGAGGCTGCTGCACAAGGAAATGATCTTGTGGTGTACCTGGAAGGGAACTTGAACAAATTGGGGAAGCAGAAGTCTTCTCGTGACCCAGAAACTGTCTACAGGGAATGGCTGTACTGTAAAGGTACCTTTTTTTTTTTTTTTTACCAACACAAACACTAGTATAAGATCCTTGTATAAACTGAGTCCAGAAGACATTATGGAGCAGAGTTGGTCTGGGTTAGGTTAACTAGGGAAGACTCTGGAGGTATGGATTTCTCGTACTGAAGAAGCCCTTCATAGGATTTTCATAACAAATTAGAAAAGCAAAAACAAGCTTAAAATGCAAGAGGAAAAAATTGTAAACATGTTTGAATTCTACAACAGGTTGTTTTTGAAGGTTGTGACCATAAATAAAAGGCTGCATTTTTTCTGGTGTTGAGGTTTCTCAAAAGCTAAGATGTGGAATGGAGGACATTTGTGTGGAAAGACATGGACATTTCTGGAGGACCTAATACATGCTGAATGCAGACAGCTCATTGAGGTTCATGTTCTCAAGAGTCCCATAGAATTGTTTTCAGACTAGGCAGAGATGTCAATGTTCAGTTATCTGCCTGGTCTTGTGTTTTATAGATTTTTTTTGCTAACTGTGTGTCCCTTTTGTATTTACATATCTGTAACTTTGGCAAAATTAATCTAGCATTCTGTATATGTAGCATGTCTATGCAATAGAACTTTTACAACAGGGCTTTAAACATCTCTTTTTTTTTGTGTCTTTTGGAATGCTCACGGGACACACTAACATTACATCTGCCTTGAAGCCATTGGAAGTTTTTAAAATTAAAATGTAACCAATAATACAATTCTTTCAGTGACTCTTTGTTAAATGAAGCCTGTACTCAGCAAGGTGGTGGTGCATGTCTTTAATCACAGCACTTGGGAGGCAGAGGTAGGTGGATCTCCGAGTTCGAGGCCAGCCTGGTCTACTGTGCAAGTTCCAGGGTAGCCAAGGCTACACAAAGAAACCCTTTCTGGAAAAACCATGTATACATACACAGAAGCCTATTGCAATTATCAGGTCATCAATATAAAAATCTTTAGCTCTCTTTAGATCAATGTCTTAGATCTTATTCCTTAAGGTCCAGGTATCCACACCCCTAAATATAGCTATTCCCCAATATTAACTGCCAAGACGACCATGTCTAAACATTGGAAATAAATAATTACTGCAGTAACTGTCTTCAGAGTGTGTTCATGAATTACTGAGACGTGATCTGAGAGCACACAGCTGTATATCCCTTTTATAGAAAATATATCCCTTTTATAGAAATCAAACATGAACTGTAAGTTTAGTGCAGACTGTGTCCAAAGATGGCTGCTAGAACACTCCTGAGAGGATGGCTGGAATATTCCTTTCTTTATGACCAAACCAGTGTTCAAGGATGTAAAAGAAAGTGTCCTTAAGACATTCTTCTTTATTCATAAGGCATGATGCCGAAGACTGGATTTTAAACATAATGTCAGTTTTGTCAGTATGATCAGAATAACCTATCATCTCTAAGGATAATGTTTTATTCATTTCAACAGGCACACAGGTTGAGAGCATGATGTAAGTGCTGTGCCAGGAAGTAGACATCAATAAATCATCAAGCAAGAGCCTGTGTCCAGGTAGGCAACCCACTATCCTCAATGAGTAGGTGTCCGTGATATTTTTGTGGGGGCGGGGGATAAGGGGGAATGTGTAGTTCTGTTTTCAAATCCAGGTAAGTTATCAGATATTCTTATTCCCTCTAAGTAATCTTCTCTGCATGGTCCCCACAGCAGCTTCTTTCTGAACATGAGCATTCCATCTGAGGTGTAGAAATGTACCTAAGAACACAGTGCTCCTCCTGCTCTCCCATCTTATCTAGATCAGATTTCAGCTCCTCTTCTTCATATATAATTTCCCTCACATCTTTCCTGCCCAACCACTCATCACGGTTTTTTTGTCCTTGTTTACTTTCTCTCCTGACCCTGTTCCTTGCTGATTACTTTGAGTAAGGAACTTCTCACCAACCTGCTTACATGGTGCCTGCACCTGGTGGCTCAAGGCAAGTCCCAGCCCAGCTGTCTCTTACCCTTTTTCTACCATGATTTTTAAAAGAATACAAGGAATCATTGACTTTATATGCATGCACCCACACCCCACACAAATACAAAGAATTAAATCAATGAAAATATAATGATTGAAAAATATGGGCATGCAGAGTTAAGAATGCATGCCTACACATTTTCTTTTCCCATGGACATATTTTTAAGGGCTTCTCACTCCTCTCAGTGGAGTATAAAGTTATGAGCTGCATCGGAAGAGGGGAAAACAGTGCATATAAATATTTATACTACTGGGTATAATATTTTCAATTGTAAAATATAACAAAAACACATATTAGGCATATTAGGCAATGTGTATCATTTATTATATTTATTTTTTGTATAAACACTTTTATTGTAAGTGT